TGTTCCCTATTGGGAACATTCAATTATATTACGTTGGCTACATTGAAAATTTGAATTTCCCGCACAAACTAAATTAATTTCCATCTTTTTTTTTTAATAATTATAAATAATAATAAATCCCACATTTGAAATTCGCACCTTAATTTATTATACAACATTTATCTCTGGGAACTACTAGAATGTATGTCAGTTTGTGCGGGAAATTCAAAATTTCAGTGTAGCCAACGTAATATAATTGAATGTTCCCAATAGGGAATTTTATTTTTTTACCATTGGCAACATCGACCGCATTCCTTGCATATGGTCAATTCCGCTACACCCGCTCTATTTTGGCTTAAAGTTTGGAATCCAAACTTTGGATACAATTTTTTTTAATGAAGAAATGTTAAGCAAAATACTTTCTTCAAGTACCTAATAAATATAAAAAACAGGTAACAAAAAATCCCTATATAAAACCAAAACAAAAATATTCTAACGCTGGAAGTCCCGCCCGCCCGTAAAAGATAAACAATACGCAAGCCGCGGTAGCATTTATAAATCCTACGGCGGCTATATATAGCATTTTACGGGAGGGCGGGAGAAAGTACGAAAGGAAATCTATAAATAAAGCTAAGCACAAAAGATTTTAACCCTTCATTAGTCTCACTGTTTTCTGAAACGCCATTAGTCGATTCGATGTATGAGACCGAAAGTTAAAAATTACGTTCATTAAATATCTTGTGTGTGTATTGTGTGTAATTTTTAAGAAAAACACTATTTTAATATTTTTAAATGTAATGTTTTTAATAAACAAACAGCTGGAACATTTTGTTCTAGAACAAACTATCAATATAAGAAAAAAAATTAGTGTTTTAAATGTTTTACTAAAACGTATTTTAAAAAAAACTAAATTCCGCTACGTTTTGCCATCATTTTGTTCCACCGCCGCTTTTGGGGGTGAATCCCGCTATGCGTAGCGGAATTCCGCTACGGTTGGCAACACTGTTATAAACTCATATAAATTTGATGTGGGTCCCATGTCTAATAACTGAGATATGGGTGTGCCCAAAATCCACCAGCCGCCACTGCTTAGGTTGCATTGTTGATAATAAAAAATATGTAAAATATTTGGTCCACTGGAATCCAATTCATTGTGACACTGCTGTCAAACTCCTGTCATTAATATTATATTAGGTTATAAATTAAGTTATTATAAATAATGTTTTCCTTAGATGATTATACTGAAATGATAATTATTTATTTATTCAGTGTGGGCGCAACGCCAGGGAGACAACGCGAGTTTTTCCCCAGCCCTTTCCTAATCGTTATTTTAAAACATTGGCGTTCTGAAGTATAAGTCATAGATTAATAACCTCATTTTTGAAAGCTTTTGACAATTAAGCCGGGTCTACAATTGTCGCAGAACGCAGATCGCAGAACGTAAGCATGCGCAAAGCACCCAGCGACGTTGCGATGGAGCAAGGTCACACGTCGCAGAAAGTTAATTCATCTTCAATAACGTCTTTCGCAGGCTTTTATGTTAGCCAATCATAGAGCGCTAGAATCTATCTGTCTCTGTGCTCTCTTTCTTTCAATAATCAATACTTTTATTTAGTTCCTTTTCCTATTTCGCGGTTATTTTTAAATTTTTGGTGTAATTCTCAGAAATTATTCTAAAAACGTAATTGTCCAAATTTAAAATAATTTTCAATATTTTCTAAAGACCATTTAAATAAATGGAGGTATGTATATTCTTATTACTATTGAATATTCATACCTATATTGATTTAAATAGGTAGTTTTTAGGAAATATCGAAAATCATTTAGAATTTTCAAATTTTGATCAAAATAATTATTTAAAATAATTATTTAAAATTTTAAATAATTCTATGATAATCTAAACAATTTTTCCAATCCAATATTGGAAATATTTGTTTACCAAAAGTATTATGATAATCAAGGTAATTTTAAATTTTGTTTTAAAATTAATTTATTTTATCAGGTAAAATACTAATTCTTACTTAGGTATATTAAATACTCAACCCAGTGTCACCAACACTTTACTTTTTATTCCCTAAAAATTTGCATTTTTTCATTTATATTATATATATAATATACAAATATAATTATATATAAACTCTTAAACATTTTTTACCTAAAAATAAACCCCAAGCAGTTTTTTAGAGATAGGGATCCATCCATATCTCTGTTTTTTTCACTAAATTTAGGGGAAACACTTCTACGTTGGCCACACTGTGGTTATAAAGAAAACAATTGCTCTGATTGGTCAATAAAAGCACATCGCGCGACAATTGTAGACAGCTCACATAACAACGACGTGTGACCTTGCTCCATCGCAACGTGGATGGGTGCTTTGCGCATGCTTACGTTCTGGGATCTGCGTTCTGCGACAATAGACCTATCCCATAAAACAGACTTTTGGATAGCGCGTGCCTGAAGAAGAGTGGTATCTCTTTCTCTTTTATGTAATTAAAAAAAGACGACGTGCCTTTTCACGCACGCGCTATCCAAAAGTCCGTTTTATGGGATAGGTCTATTGTAGACCCGGCTTTAGTAAATACAGTTGGCCAAAAGATTTTTAAATGTTTTTAATACAACAATGTTCTATCGTCTCCTAGCAATTTTTAAAGCTCTTACGTTTAACCTAGGCGAGAGCTCTCGGTATTGGCTGCCGCTTTTTTGCTCTTATTCGATTACACTATTACCTAGAAATTTTTTATTTTTAAATTTGGCATCTCCATTGCTATCGGCACGCCCCCTTTTTTTCTGTGGCGCGAGTTCTGGGACACCCTGTATATAGCAAAAATAATTTACGGACAAACAGCGCCTCATATAATTTCGCTCCTTCCAGTAAACGGCAGGTATAAAACCTTGCACTGAACGTACTAACAGCTTTGCCAACTTAGCGACTTTGTCGCTGGATCTAGCGATTTGAGGTAGCCATTTGACACATTTTTTTATGATTTGCGACGTGTCTCAAACCTAGCGTTTTTTACATTGTGTTGGCGACATTTTTGGAGACATTTTAACATTGATAAGGAAATTTGTTTTTAAACAAATCAACAAAATAATTTCTAGTTTAAAAAATTTCAAATTAAAATTTGTTACGTTGGCATGGCCAACTTGGCAACGACGCATCCGTAAGGATATGATCAAGACCGAGATGTGCCGTTAGTTCTGCGCAAGCGTCAAAGTTTTAATGGTTGCATACGTATCTTTTTCTTGAGTAATTTAAATTATACCCGCGCTTTGCAATTAATATAAAACTTGGCTTTGAAAGTTAGCCCCTTGTAAAATTATGAATTATATATTTATTTATATTTATAATATCGAGAAACATTTGCCATTAGTAAATCTATATCTATTTAAGGATAATTTTAATTACATATTGTTTTTTTTAAATATAGGTATAGCATAATTTTGCCCAATATATTAAATGTGGAGCAAACATCCAAAATCCTATAAATCCATGTGTACACACTTTTGGCCAATATCTCAGATTAAGTTAAAATGGATTTATCGGCTTTTGCAAGTTTGCTCCATAAATATTGTTAATAAATAAAATAAACATATTTTAATAACAGCTTTTTATTAACAGCATTTCTATAATAATATTAATATCTTATAAATAAAACAATAAAAAGAAACTTAAAACTAACGTTAGTTAGTTAGTAAGTACTTAAGGGCATAACTACATTATTTACAAATATTTATACTACTTAAAAATAATTATGGTCATTTGCGGAACTAGATGAAATAAACAAATTATCTCCACTTAAAAAATTGCTTATAATTTGTTTTTCAACTCTGCTGGGTTTTGTTATTTTTTGAGCAATTTTAACCTTTTTGTTTTTAGTTGAGTGGAAAGTAAGTTGCTTTTTAATTTTTTTATTAGAAGAAACAGATGAAACTTCTCTAAAATTGGGACAAGATGTTGAGGCAGCTATGTTAAATAAAGACTCAAGGTTTTGAATTTGACACAAGATCTGGGATAAGATACTTTTATCAACGCCTCTCAAATTTATATCATTAACTCTTCCTGATACTATAGATAATTTATTAACAACTTTATCAGCGAGTTGGTCTTTGCATGCAGATTTATTTAGAGTTTTTAAGCATCTGTTAATATCTATAGAATCGTTATTGTAAAAATCTAAAGAAATATTAGTATTAGTCGAGTTATTAGTTAAATTAGAACTCCTTTCAGAAATATTTACAATGTAATGGATGTGCTTACAAATTGTATTTTTTATATTAAAATCTGGACAGCTGCAAATATAACAATGGATACAAATATTGCAATATTGGCAGAATAATTTACAACACTTGACTGAATTTTGTTTAACAATGACATATATATTATTATCAGTTAAAATTTCCCACTGTTTATCATGTTGTATACTTTTTACATTAAAATTGCATGTTGAAGATTGTTGGTGCCTCTGTATAATACCTTTAATAGTGCTTGTCTGTTTGCCTTTGGTTGCTTTTATTATTCTGTCAACCTAAAAAATAAAAAACAAAACATTAAAAAAATAGTACCTAGGTACTAACTCCACCCTAAACAAACTCATTACTAAAACATAAAAACCCATGTTTCATGCATGCTCTTATAAACTTATAAACCATTTTATAGGTAAATACATACATATAATATACATATTATATTAATAATAACAAACACCCTGAGAAAACTATACCTTTTTGCAAAACTTTTTTTGCTATTTTTAAGAAACCTTAACATATGCATAATATATGGATATTTTATGCCTTTATTTCTTGAAATCTGTCTAGTTAATTTAAGGTGCTTTTTTACTAATGCATATGCATATTTCCAGAAATGAAGGCATAAAATATCCATTCATCTTTTACCAAAAGCTCCCATAATAATTACAGTAAAAATAAAATACAACAAAACTCCATTTACCAAAAAGCTTAAAATTCAGAGAAATGTTGGTATACATACTATTTTATGAACTCTTTTTTTCAATATGTAGGTCCTATTTCAAGTTGAACTTATTTTTTCTTAATATCATGTACTTTGTGAACATAAAAATATTACCTATTATAAATAGATATTTAAAAAAATGTTATTACAAATATATAAATGTTATTAATGGAAAGAAAAAAAATACATTACCACTTTATCTCGGATGTAGTTTAATAGTGCATGCAAACCTTTGTCTAGACACTTTACAGTTTTTCCATTCAAATAAAAGTATTTTACAGTTTTGTGCATACTTTCTAAAAACATGTTTGTATTTATTCCACAACCTTTTCTAAAACAATAGGCCCACTGTTGACAATTCTTAAAATAAGTACTAATAAAATAGTGTCCAAAATTTGCAGTATCAGGATCTTCTTGAAGACTGGTGATAAAAGAGTTTAAATTTTCATAAAACATATTTTCTTCTAAATACATGGTTTGCTGTAAAGTTTTCAGTGTTTTGTAGACTGAGTTTCTTGTTTCTAAATTGGGGATTTTATTTAAATTCTTTTGCCAGGCTCGATCTATATGCCAAGAACAGTACAGTTTATATTTAACATTTCCCATAACTAGTAACCAAGCATTAAAAAAAAACTTCAGTAATATCACTCATAAATACTTTGGCTTCAATTATACCCACTGCATCTTTAAGTTTTTGAAAAAACACACAATTTACATATGTATCTTTTCTATTTGTAAACATGCAAGCAACTGGAAAACCTTCACCATATTCATCTACCACCATAATTGTTGTGAGCTCAAAATCATAGTTGTTCAGTCCATGGGTGCTATCTATAGCAATAATGTTTTTACCAAAAGTACTTAGCATATCTTTTTGATATGCATTCATAAATATTAAACAAAAATCACTCTCAGTAAATTTTTCAGAATTTTCGCCTTGCCTTTTATAATACAGAACTGGATTGTTATCTTCACCTTTGCATTCTTTTACCCACATTTCTATACTTATAGCATCTTCTTTATGTTTTACTCCATCTTGTATATTTATGTTATAATCTCTTTTTATATTTAATAAATCCCTATTTGTTATGATATCAGCTCTTTTTAATTCACTTCCAATATTTTTTCTATATGTATTTATAATGCTAAAACAGAAAAAATCCTTAAAATAATTTATATCGTTTAAGAATATATTTCTTTATATTAAAATCCAGTCCAAATTAACTTACTGTGTTTGTGAAACACCAGATATTAGTTTAGCAGCTATAGATTCCCTATCAGTTTTAGGCAGTCTTAAATGTTGTACATCATTTGTGTGACCATAATGACTTTTTATTCTTATTAGAGTTAAAGTCCCATCTGAATGTTTATTCAATGTACCCTGCTTAAAATACCCCATAGAGACCCTGTTCAAACCGATAGATATTTGTATCGGGATGTATGGTGTTTCTATAGGGTGTATCGGTTTGTATAGGACCCGTAGTTGAGATTTATGGTTGTTCTATAGGGATATCCACCATTGATTTATTTGCTATCGGTTTCAATGGGGAAAATACACATAAATGTAGAAATTAGTTTTTTCCCTATAGGACCCTATAGGTTTTAATAAAATTTTGTCAAATGTTTTATGGTTGCTCTATAGGGATATCCCTATATATCCTTCATTGAGTTATTTTCTATCGGTCTCAATAGGGAAAATGTAAAAGTTATGGTGTGCCTATAGGTAATTTCCTATACATTTTCTATCGGGCTGTATCCGGAAAAACCCATGGACAAATGCACATATAGAATCCGGTAGCGCCCGATAGATTATTTTGTATAGGTCTCTATGGGGTATTTTAAGCAGGGTAATTTGACTGGTGCAAGATGCATTAATTTTGCAAGTTCCTTGAGATTTTAACATTCTACACTCTGCTTGCCCTTTGCTTTTAAAAAAACCTACAATAAGTCTTATTAATAATACTGATCTTATATTTTAAAAACAAAATCATACCAGAACGATTACATTTGTAGTATGACACTATGTCCCTGGAAGCTAAAGTCTTTTTACCACAAGCAACAGCATAATTACATTTCTCATGTATTTCAATTTGTTGTTTCCAACAAAGAAAATCTAAAAATAATAAACATAAAAAAACTATTTTATTAATTAAAGGAAAAATCTTAATACCTTGGAATGTTGAAAATGTTTGTTTCTCCTGTTCTATTTTAAATAAATGCATTGATTGTAAATGCTCCACTAATTCCTGATTACGCCTGAATCTTTGTTCACATTCTTCTTCCAAACAAACATATAAGTTTTTGTATAGTTGAGTTTCTTTATGAACAAGTCTTAAATGTCTATTTAAAGATCCTTTTAGCTTAAAATGATTTCCGCACGTTTCACAAATGAATTCCATGTTCAATAAATGAAAGATCTTTATTTAAATATAATTAAAAAGTGATTATTATTGTATAATAGACTTAAAAAAAGGTTTAACTCGCACAACCACAACTAGTACATAACATAACCTCAAATTTAGAAAAAACGCGCTTAAACTTTTGAAAGCACAGGTTATGCTCATGCGCAAAACTAACGGCACATCTCGGTCTTGATCATATCCTCATCCGTACGTCATCCGTCAAATGTCAAAACATGGAGCCTACACAAGGAGCCCGAACTTAATAGGGAAAATTGACAAAACCTGCCCTCTAAATTGCACAAATTAAGTCTTTTTTTTTCACCACCTGCGGCGCTGATTGTTGATGCGTCCTGACGTCTGCTCTTTTGGTAGCGTTTCGGTACAAATTAGTCAATTGACCATATGCAAGGAATGCGGTCGATGTTGCCAATGGTAAAAAAATAAAATTCCCTATTGGGAACATTCAATTATATTACGTTGGCTACACTGAAATTTTGAATTTCCCGCACAAACTGACATACATTCTAGTAGTTCCCAGAAATAAAGAAGGTAGTTCCAATGTTGTATAATAAATTAAGGTGCGAATTTCAAATGTGGGAATTAAAAAAAAAGATGGAAATTAATTTAGTTTGTGCGGGAAATTCAAATTTTCAATGTAGCCAACGTAATATAATTGAATGTTCCCAATAGGGAATTTTATTTTTTTACCATTGGCAACATCGACCGCATTCCTTGCATATGGTCAATTGTTTCATAATAAACGGGACACCAGCGCCTACTTTCTTTAGGAAGATTCTTGTTTACATGCAGTTCGGACTCCTTGTGTAGGCTCCATGTGTCAAAAACTGAAAAAATAGCCGGGCAATTGTGAAATCCCATTATTTATTTATTCTTTTATTATCTGTGTTATGGAAAATCCAGGGATTTTGGCACTTTGCAGGCTTATATTAATGATGATGCAAAATCGACTGAATTTCTTGAAAATTTCGAGGAAAATCTATTAATAAACTAATTTTTTTTTAAATTTTTTTATTTACCTTAATTTAATTTTTTTATTTACCTTAATAAATAATTATTTATTTTTATGTATTTTATTTATTTTTCTTATTTTACAATGACTTGATTTTTTAATGATTTATTTTATGTTATTTAAATAAAATATTTGTTAACAATTATAATTATTAATTATTTTTGTGTAATGTTAAGATAATGCCATTTTCTAGTGTCCTTTACTACAACCACGTTAAAATTCTTTCTTTATGAAAAATCAATTCTGTTTAAAATTTTGCAACCACTTTAAACTTTTTTTTCTCTTTTTTTTTAAATTTGCGACATCTGGCGATTTTTAAGTGCCAAATAATTTAGCGATTTCTGGCGACTTTTGAAGAGCTTGGTTGAGACTTTTCACAATAGACTGTTGGCAACACTGCGTACTAATGGAACAAAACTCATTAGTTTAGGAAATTCCTAATAGGAATGTTGTGTTTGTTACCAGCAGGTTACCAGCAGAGACAAGGGTCTCTGGTTACCAGAAAAGGCAACTAAAGTTTTAAATTTGTTTTGGTATCTATTTACATTTAAAAGTTTTTTATACATGTATCACACTATTGGTATCTAATTACATTGTTTATAAATATATGAATTTATGAAACTTAAAAGCGCCAAGCACTACTAAGAAAGCGCCACCTTGCGCCAAATGTCAATGCTAAATAACTGAACAGCTGAGCTGATAAATATTGAGTACCAATCAAAATTTTTAGTGAAAACGAACAGAACATAAGAGAATTAAAAGCGCTATAGTCAAAAGTGGCAACAAGCATTGGTTGATTTTTAAATCTAGCAGGCTTGGAAAACCGAGTTGTTTTTTTGCGGGAAATTTGAATGTTTGGCTATTTGAATTTTTATTTAAAACAAGGAAATATAACCGAAAATTGTTTAAATTTTATATTTTTTTGATTTTAAAAGGATTATATACGTAATATTGTCCATTAAAAATCAAAAAATATAAAATTTCGACAATTTTCGGTTATTTTCCACTAATTAAGTGGAAAAACACACATTTTTGTTTTTTTTTAATAAATATATTTAACAAAATATACACTTAATTCAATTTTAAATTAAAGTATAACTAACAAATAATATTTAAATGAGGAGAAATTCAAAGTTAATTATTCTATAAATTAGTGAAATTTAAAAAAAGGTTTAATAATAATATCAAACATGTATAATAATTTATAATTATCTAGGTATAATTTATCAAAAAGTATGACATTAAATTGATAATTACTCTCTTATATATGCCTACAAGACAATTATCGCTTGATTACAGCGATAATTTTCAGAAATTTTAATTTTGTGTCACATAATAACAATTTTTGTAGGTTTTTTAAGATTTCCTAATAAAAATGCAAAGGTTTATTAAACAAATTAACTCTAAAACATATTACAAACCATCAAAATATTTGATAAATTCTTGATAAGCAATAGTTCAATACTTATTGGTCCTTATTAGAAAACAACCTTTTAAAAAACAGTTCAAGTATAATTAAAATTAGTTTAAATTTGAATATGTAATTCATAAAAATAAATAATTTTCTAATACATACTGACTTATTGTATACCCTATAGTTATTTTCAGATTTCTTAATGTGGTATTAAATTTTTTTATTGGAAAAACCAAAAGGCTAATGCCTAAAATGTTTAATGCAATAATTAGACTTATTACAAACCATGCTCTTATAATTTTTAGGAATTATGATTATAATTTGTTTTTTAAATAAGCACAATACTGTAGTTTTGTAAAATATAGAATTTTTGGCAAAAAGGAATTCCTACTTATCCAAAAATTAAATTACATTCTTTGGAATATTTAATTTTTAGTAAAATTGGTTTAATTTAAATTAATAATCAATAGAACCACTTAAATCTCAATGTTAAAAATATTGTAATTATGTATTAGGCAAAATTAAAATCTTTATGTATGATTTAACTTTCTGGTCAATATTAAGTATTAATTGTCTTTTTTCTTGTTCATAATTCATGGATTGAACCTGCGTCTTTTTCTTGATTCAATGAAGAATATTCAACTGCAATTAATATTTTCTATGTTCTTTTGCAAAGAAGTTTGATAAATTCAAGTCCTGTCTGCTTCTTCCATTAACACAAACCCAAACCTGAAATCAATATCAATTTTAAAATCAATTTAAATTGTAAAACAATTGATATTACCTAATAATGTTTAAAATTAAATAAAAATAATGCATCAATATTTATGCTACTTATTTATGCTAAAGGTAATTGTTTTACCAGCATAAAAATAATTGAATGGTTTATTGTAAAAACAAGCTAAGTAACTAACTAAATATGATTTTGTTTATTTTTTTATTTTAAAAATCTTATAAAAACTAATAACGGTGAACTTGTGCTGTTTTAACATGAAAATATCCTTTTTTAATATCATAATGTGTATCTTGCTAAATAAAATATGTCTGCCCCAAAATAATAATTTAAAGCAAAAGTGTATGTAATATAAAAATGTCAGATTGCTTGTTCTAACAATAAACAATTTAATTATATTTGGAGTAAATACTAAAAGTGTACTTTCTTTAATGGTCAGGCTTTTACTTTTTTTATATTTGGATTGTAACTATGGATGTGTGAATATTGAATTCAAGAATTATTTGAATAGTTTGAATGTTTCAAATTTTTAAATGGTTCAATTAGAAAATTAAAATTTTTCAATAGTAATTGAAGAAATGGAACATTGGAATTGTAATTTAAAATTTATTTTTAAATAAAAAGAATGTTATTTACTTGTCATTAACCCTTAATTAACTTATTTGAATAGATTATGATTAATTATTTAACTATTCAAATAATTCAAACTATTTATGTAGTTTAAATATTTAATTTTAAGTTTGAATTAAATATTACTACATAATTTATTTGGTAAAAATATTCACACACCACCAATTGTAACTAAAAATGTATTCTAAATAAAAAAAATATATATCTACCTATTATTAAAAAAATTTGGTCAAATATTTCTGTTTGGCATTGACAAGTAAAGCTTTCATTCTTTTTCTTCATGCAGGATAAATCTTGTCTAATTGTTCCATTATCGCAGAAGCTAAAATTAATTATATTAAATTAAAATCAATTTATATTGTAGCAAAAAATAATTGAATTAAAAACTTTAAAAATAATTCTTTAAAAGCTTTGCTTATGAATTGTCTAGTTATTTATGTACATTAAAAATGATAGAACAAATGAAGGGGTCAATGCAAGAATTCTTGCACTTAAGTGCCTAAGTCACATTTTCAATTAAATTTACATTGTGGCTTCATCTAAGAGTGTTTCACGTAAGGTTTCAGGTGGTATTTTCAAAGTGGCAGAAATATGTGCCCAAGCGCCTTAGTTTGCATTTACTTCAATGGGAGTTTGCCTGGTTTTCAACTTATGTGAAAACTCTTAGATGAAGCCAGAATAACAATTTAATTGAAAATGTGACTTAAGACACTTTTTGCATTGACCCCTTCAAATAAAATAACTATAAAAATACTGTAAAAGATTATCACCCTGTAGTTCAAAATGCTATATTAATGTAAAAAAAACATGAAAAGCACAAAACATTTGTAATATAATCAAGATTTGAACTGTATGCTTACAAGTGTTTAATATGACCTCTTCCAGCTGCAAACATCTTGTAGATACTCGGCAGTTCCAATTCGTGTATTCAGCTTTTACAAATCTTGGGCTCATACACGTTATCTTTTATAAAGCCCCAGAGAAAGAAGTCGCACACTGTGAGATCGGTTGAACATGTTGACCATACATGAAGTGCCAAATTGTTGGGCCCTTTACATCCGATCCACCGATGAGGGGGCTGTTCGTTCAATAACCTCCGCTCCACCAAATGCCAATGTAGTGGGGCCCTGGACCCAGGTCCAGTTTTCGCGTAGCTACATCAAATAATTTTAACAAAAACATACATTTTGACAAAGATTATAGGTACCTATATTTAACATTTTGTATAACAGCAACTAGTGTCGAGAAAAAAAACGTTAAAAACTGTTTTGATTGAAAGTTTTGAATCAAAACGCTTTAAAACTATTTAAATTCTATCAAAACTTGCATTAGTTAAACAACCCATAAGCAAAGAGTAAGAGTCTTTACTCTTTGCCATAGGTTTCATTACATAAAAAGAATTTTATTTGTTTTATCGTAACTACATTTCACATGTGTTTTCGGTAAACATAGAGAAAAAAACCGATACGGTTTATCACACGTATTTTCTTATTTTAAACGCGGTAATGATGCTACAACTAACTCAAACTTGACTAAAAACACCTAATAAAATGTTAAAGCCGAAATTAACAAGTTTACTTACCTAAAACAAAGAAAATTTGGATTATAAAACTTCGTACACAACACTTCAACAAGACTGTCGGCCATTTGTAATTTCTCAAACCGACCATCAACGAACAAGTTGGAAAAGACCAATCACAACAAAGTAAGAATCACGTGGTTAATAACTGGGGTCTGTCAAAAACAACTTGGGTTTCAACGCACGCTAGATTTATTTTACTGTTGCCTGTTGTCAAATTCCCCTTATACCCCCCTGAAAATTCGTAAATCTATCCAAGTTTATGGTCGCGGTGCCTGCCAGGATTTTACCCTTCAGTGAAGCCTTCACCCACGGATTTCTACGGAATCCGTAGTACAGATATTTGACTAGAGAACTCAGGATTTTTCGAACGAAAAGGTTGGCAACGCTGAGTTATATAGAAATAATACGAGTAATATCTCTATGCATATAACAAACATAAAACATCAAATTTTGTATATTTGTATGGAATATTTTAATATTTTTAAAAATTAATGATGTAAGTACCTATTTTATATGTAGCCAAATCATATTTTCTTAAATATCTAAATTTAAAGAGCGGAAAATATTTAAAAAACGCAAAAGACGAGAACGTTTTAATAATTACCTAATAATAAAAAAAGGCTTTGTTATCTATGGTTTTAACTCTGAATATTGTTTAATAATATGCCTATATATCTATGGCACTGCCATATTGACAGAGTCGGTATATGTTATGTATTTTATATGGTTATGTTGGCCTTTAGCCGCTAAAGTTTAGCGTCACAGGCATAAAGGCGCATTGATAAAACACTTCTTGTTTTGGTTTGTTTTTAGCTTCTTGAGTGTTTAATAAGTTAAACGTTAAATATAAATCACCACCCCCAGGAATCCCATAACAGATGTAAACATTTTTGTATTTGCTGGTGTACAATATCTGTTAAAATTGATTTGTAACAATTTTCTTTATAGGTAGGTATAGTTTATACAAATTTCATTTTATAATTACAGTGTTTGTTAATTATACAAAATTTTAAAGTTTATCTCATGGAGCGTACACAAGGAATCAAAACAGATACAAAAATAAGGAAGCTGGTTTTCTGTTCTTCAATCTGTAAACGTCTCTGTCTTCAGGGGGGATGGCCTTTAGCTTAGTTAAAAGTTATTTGGCCACGTGCATTATATAATAATAATAATAATATAGAATATAGGTACATTATAATCAAGCGACCCAGTTAAGACTGTCTGAGAATTCCCAACTTTGATTTTTGTGCTTTTGTAGATTTGTTGGTCGCTTGTTCTTCTAAATGTCTTATGTGTCTGGTACACTTTTTGTTTAACTAGGGTGTATATATGCAAGGTGTCCCTAAAACTTATTGGCATAAATTTAGGAAAATATTGAGCAAGTCAAAATAAGACGAAAACTTAAATAAATATTTTTTCTACGACCACTATGTAAAAGTCACTTTTCATGATGGCATTGTTGCTTAAAAAATGAATCTTTTCATTGGCAAGGCAAAACACGAATGTAAAGTGACATTTCTGTGTGAAAAGTGACAGGTCTGCGTGAAAAGAAATTGACAGCATCGTTTGACATTCACCTGTCAAAAAAGTTTTTAGGTTATTTTGTTTTGTATTTAAAAATAATAAAAAATAAAAGGGTCGCAGAAAAAACATTGTGTTATACTTGTGAGAAAAGCTTTCTTCAAGCTCGTGTTAATGCACACTCGGCCTAACGGCCTCGTGGGCAACTTAAAAACTTGTAAAACAAATAACTAGGTATTTCCTAATTTCTTATGTTTCCAAGATACAGGGTGATAAAGTGTTACATATTATATCAGTTTTTTTAATAAAACTTATACTAAACTAGTCTTGGAAGGGTGACATTCACACATAATTACAATTGTTTGAGTGAATACAGTGTCATAGAAACCTGTTTCATCCTGCATACATTACGAATTTTTTATGCATTGCTCATAAAATTAATACGTTCTGTAGTGGTTAATTCCATAACTTTTGGGGTACAATATAAAAAATGCTTCTGCTCCAAAATTGCTTTAATTAAATTAAAAAAAAAACAAAATACAAATATTCTAATAAAAAAATTAAAATATTCAACACAAATAAATAATTATTAATATTAATAGCTGGGGTTGTAGTGGGAATAATATGATAAGATGGATCTTATTTAATTTTAATCGGTTTTAATGTAAAACTATATGATACATTTTATTAAGGTCTTTTAGAATATTGACAAATCCCAAACAAAAAATATAGAAGTAGTCATTAAAACAGTCGATGTAAATGTAGCTACTATAATATATTATATTATAACCATAAACATAACACAGAAAATCTGAGATTTTTATTAAAATTAATAAAAACTTTTTTGATTTTATAAATCTTAAACTCCCCTGCTTAAAATACCCCATAGAGACCTATACAAAATAATCAATCGGGCGCTACCGGATTCAATATGTGCATTTGTCCATGGTTTTTTCCGGATATGGCCCGATAGAAAATGTATAGGAAACTACCCATAGGCACACAATAACATTTACATTTTCCCTATTGAGACCGATAGAAAATAACTCAATGGAGGATATATGGGTATATCCCTATAGAGCAACCATAAAACACTTGACAAAATTTTATTAAAACCTATAGGGTCCTATGGGGGAAAAAGTAATTTCTACATGTATGTGTATTTTCCCCATTGAAACCAATAGCAAATAAATCAAGGGTGGATATACCTATAGAACAACCATAAATCCCAACTATGGGTCCTATACATACCGATACACCCTATAGAAACACCATACATTCCGATACAAATATCTATCGGTTTGAACAGGGTCTCTATGGGGTATTTTAAGCAGGGTCATTAATGTAGATGAATAATTATAATAGGTGGAGGACAATAGTTTAAATAATTCATAATATCAAAAGCAAGCACCTGGATCGATAAGTGTCAGTACGACTAAAAATTATAATATTATTCATATTGACACTATTATTGGATCTTAAGTGAGTGCTTTTGATATTATAAATCGATCATCTACCTGTTGTTATTATTCCTCTACTGTGGTGAGTTAATGATTTATATAAAAACGTTTTTATTAACTTTGATGACAATTTATGGAATGTTATATCCCCAGATAACAATAGACCTATCCCATAAAACGGACTTTTGGATAGCGCGTGCGTGAAAAAGCACGTCGTCTTTTTTTAATTATATAAAAGAGAAAGAGATACCACTCTTCTTCAGGCACGCGCTATCCAAAAGTCTGTTTTATGGGATAGGTCTATTATGACATCATTTAAGACATCAACGTGAAATCATTGCTGATTCATTCAGTGATGTCACTGAGGTACGCATATGTGTTCCCCTTTTGATGAGCAACATGATATCCTTAATGAGTCACACGATGAATTCGTTGTGCCATCAACGTGAAATCATTGCTGATTCATTCAGTGGCACGCATAAGTGTTGCACTTTTGATGAGCAACGTGAGATCCTTAATGAGTCACACGATGAATTCATTATGAAATCAAAGGGATGTCATTAATGATTTTACTTAAGGGACTAAAAATGCTAAAATTAATTAAAATAATTTTTTTTCTTAAATAAAATAAATAATATTTAAAAAATGTTTTTAATAAAATTTAAAAAAGTAACTTGCATCTGATTATTAATTTTTATACATGTATATATGTACCTAGCACGTGCTAAGTATAATTCATAAATTAATTATAAAAATATATTTAAAAATACGATAATTTTTAAGCCTTGGTAAGATAAATCCATTCCCAAAACTTGGCAACACTTATGGTATATACTATGCAGAGGTGTACAAGAAAAAAGTACTCAAGTAAAAGTAAAAGTACTTAAAAAAAATGTACTTGAGTACAAAGTACAAACAAATTCAAAAGTACCCACGAGTACAAGTACAAAGTACTTTCACAAATGATCTCATCAAGAACTCAGGATGAGCTCAGCAATAATTCAGCTAATGAGCTCCAGGTGAGGTCCAGGTGATTTCACAGAAATGCATTTGATGTCAAAGTGAGTTTACTGTGAGCTCACGCGATGATTATCACTGAGTGATTTTTTAATGAGTCATAAATGTTATCTGGGTCGTTATATGGTAGCTACTTTTACATCGACTGTTTTAATGAGCACTCCTTTATTTTTTGCAGGGAATCTGAATATTTTGAAAGATATTGATAAAGATACTTTTATTTCCTACTCAGCCCCAGCTATTGAAATTATTTGGATACAACAACCCAAGGAGCAAAGACTCCTATGTCTTCTAACATGTATTTCACGTCCCATCAAGTCATATATGTCCGCCCTAAATAACATCACAAATATGACATTCTAAAATAACGTGATTTGGATATTAAAATAACATTATTTTGTGATATCCTAAAAATAACGTAACTTTCACATCAAAACAACGTTGTTTTAGGATGTCATATTTGTGATGTTATTTATGGTGGATATATGACTTGTTTGGGACGTGATTAAAAAGTAGTTTTTGCTTCCTGGGAACCGATTTTTAATTAACATTAATTGGTAAATAAATACTTATACCTAGTAATTGAATCACTGATTTTAGAAACACCCTAAGTCCACTTTTGAAAAATTTTGAGTTACCTATAAAATGTTTTTAATAAATATACCTATCGATTGAGCGTAAAAACAACTTTAGACCCATACACTAAATGGATAATAGGCGCCCTGAAAACCTAACCCTAAAACTTAAAAACTTTTTATAATAATTAGCCCTTTAAAGTAAATTAAATTTTGGAGCCGGTCCTGGCTAAACTTAAGTTTGCACAATTATTGTCCAAACATGTTTATGCATAACCATATTACAAAAATGACAAATTTAACAATGCAAAATGTCATCACTGACACTACCCCAATTAGAGACTTGAGGGTCTCTAGCCCAAACATAATGTTAAGAAGAAAAATATGGCACGCCGTTTTACTTTTTAATGTCATGTTTAATAAAGCTAAATATTAATTCAAGTTGCTTTTTTAAAAATTGACTGAACATTTTAAAGTAAAATTTTTATGATGTATTGGTATATTGAGTACACAATTTTAAGCACAGAATAAGAATTAAAGTAATTTTAATTCTGGAACTGAATGGCGTATTGAGTAGTATGAGTATGAGTATAAGAGACGTATAACCAGCCCCATTTCCTCTTGACTCTCGAACCCCGTACAGGCCTATGTTTACTTACGCCGATTTTTGTTCTTCCCCAGAAACTGCACGGCTTCACCCGTGTTTGCTGGGTGCGAATGTCCATTGCGTTCCGTACTGTCCCCTATTTGGGGCTCGAGAGCGAGAGGCGAATAGTTTTAATAGCCATTCCCGGGTTCGCCGAGCCTATGCTATAGGCTCAGTGGGGTATGGAGGAGGGACGGGAGGGTGTTGGTTTTTGGGGACAATTACGCCGACTTAAAACTAAGTACGACGCGGAATCCCCCTAGACCAGTCGATTAGTATTACTCCAAACATTTGGGATTACTATTTGGAGTTGGGGAGTTGTTATTAGACTGCAGGGGTGTAGTTTCCTAGTCGAGGTCTTCGTCTTGTTCATTATTGTCATTGTCCCTGTCGGATAGTTCCTGAACTTGGTAAAGTGTGTCGGTTGTTTTTTTTTATTTTATTTTTATTGTTGCTTAGTTGCTCCCAACTGGTCTTGTTAATTTGTGAGAAGTGCATGGTTTGTGCTAACGTGTCATGAAATGTGAAGCATGGTCACCCGACTTTTTTGTCTTTAAGATCTAGTTTAAGGGTGGCTTGTAGTATGTTGTTGCGTTGTCTACGAGTGACGTGGGCCCAGTATTTTAATAGGGCTAATTACCGTGGTCGTTTAGGTACGCATTAATTTGTCCTGTTTTGTCACTTATGTGTTCATAACGTCTGCTTAGTTCATTTATTGCGTCCTCGATG